GTTCTTTAGTTATTGCTGTGGATTCACTTGTTAGCTCTGCTGTTGTTGCTGAGGATTTACTAGTTGTTGGTTCTGCAGTTGTTGTTTGGGATTCACTTGTTGTAGGGGATTCAGTTGTTGGTTCTGCAGTTGTTGTAGGAGATTCAGTTGTAGGGGATTCAGTTATTGCTTCTTCAGTTGTTGTCGGGGATTCCTTTGTTGGTTCTGAAGTTGTTGGCAATTGAGTTATTTCCACAGTTGTCGAGGATTCACTGGTTGGCTCTGCAGTTGTTTGGGATTCACTTATTGTTGGTTCTGTAGTTGTTGGTTCTGCGGTTGTTGTTGGTGATTCAGTTGTTGGTTCTGCAGTTGTTGTCGGGGATTCGGTTGTTGCTTCTGAAGTTGTTGAGGATTCACTTGTTGGCTGTGCAGTTGTTGGTGATTCACTTGTTGGGGATTCAGTTGTTGCTTCTGAAGTTGTTAGGATTTCAGTTGTTGTTTGCTCTGTAGTCGGGGATTCAGTTGTTGTTAGAGATTCACTTGCTGTTAGTTCTGCAGTTGATGGTAGGGATGCAGATGTTATTTCTGCAGTTGACAGTGATTCAGTTGTTGCTTCCATAGTTGTTGAGGATTCACTTCTTGCATCTGCAGTTGTTTGGGATTCACTTGTTGGTTCCGCAGTTGTTGTCGGGGATTCAGTTGTTAGGGATTCAGTTGTTGCTTCTGAAGTTGGTGGGGATTCGCTTGTTGCTTCTGAAGTTGTTGGTAGGGATGCAGTTGGTATTTCTGCAGTTGTCGGTGATTCAGTTGTTGCTTCCACAGTTGTTGCGGATCCAGTTGTTGTTTGCTCTGTAGTCTGGGATTCAGTTGTTGGGGATTCACTTGTTGGAGATTCAGTTGCAGTTAGTTGTGTTGTTGTTGTTTGGGATTCAGTTGTTGGTTCTGCAGTCGTTTTTTGCGATTCACTTGTTGTTGCTTCTGCAGTTGTTGGGGATTCAGTTGTTTCCACAGTTGCCGAGGATTCACTGGTTGGCTCTGCAGTTGTTGTTAGGGATGCAGTTGTTACTTCCACAGTTGTTAGGATTTCAGTTGTTGTTTGCTCTGTAGTCGGGGATTCAGTTGTTGTTGGGGATTCACTTGTTGCTTCTGAAGTTGTTGGGGATTCAGTTGTTCTTTGCTCTATAGTCAGGGATTCAGTTTTTGTTGAGGATCCACTTGTTGCTTCTGAAGTTGTTGGGGATTCACTTGTTGCTTCTGAAGTTGTTGGGGATTCACTTGTTAGTTCTGCAGTGGTCAAGGATTCAGTTGTTGTTGGTTCTTTAGTTATTGCTGTGGATTCACTTGTTAGCTCTGTTTTTGTTGTTGATGATTTACTAGTTGTTGGTTCTGCAGTTGTTGTTTGGGATTCACTTGTTGTAGGGGATTCAGTTGTTGGTTCTGCAGTTGTTGTAGGAGATTCAGTTGTAGGGGATTCAGTTATTGGTTCTGCAGTTGTTGTCCGGGATTCCGTTGTTGGTTCTGAAGTTGTTGGGAATTGAGTTATTTCCACAGTTGTCGAGGATTCACTGGTTGGCTCTGCAGTTGTTTGGGATTCACTTGTTGTTGGTTCTGTAGTTGTTGCTGGTTCTGCGGTTGTTGCTGGTGATTCAGTTGTTGGTTCTGCAGTTGTTGTCGGGGATTCGGTTGTTGCTTCTGAAGTTGTTGAGGATTCACTTGTTGGCTGTGCAGTTGTTGGTGATTCACTTGTTGGGGATTCAGTTGTTGCTTCTGAAGTTGTTAGAATTTCAGTTGTTGTTTGCTCTGTAGTCGGGGATTCAGTTGTTGTTTGAGATTCACTTGCTGTTAGTTCTGCAGTTGATGGTAGGGATGCAGATGTTATTTCTGCAGTTGACAGTGATTCAGTTGTTGCTTCCATAGTTGTTGAGGATTCACTTTTTGCCTCTGCAGTTGTTTGGGATTCACTTCTTGTTGATTCTGCAGTTGTTAGGGATGCAGTTGTTTGTTCTGCAGTCGTTGTTGGTTCTGCAGTTGTTGTTGGTGATTCACTTGTTGATTCTGCAGTTGTTGTCGGGGATTCAGTTGTTAGGGATTCAGTTGTTGCTTCTGAAGTTGTTGGGGATTCGCTTGTTGCTTCTGAAGTTGTTGGTAGGGATGCAGTTGGTATTTCTGCATTTGTCAGTGATTCAGTTGTTGCTTCCACAGTTGTTGCGGATCCAGTTGTTGTTTGCTCTGTAGTCGGGGATTCAGTTGTTGGGGATTCACTTGTTGGAGATTCAGTTGCAGTTAGTTGTGTTGTTGTTTGGGATTCAGTTGTTGGTTCTCTAGTCGTTTTTTGTGATTCACTTGTTGTTGCTTCTGCAGTTGTTGGGGATTCAGTTGTTTCCACAGTTGTCGAGGATTCACTGGTTGGCTCTGCAGTTGTTGTTAGGGATGCAGTTGTTACTTCCACAGTTGTTAGGATTTCAGTTGTTGTCTGCTCTTTAGTCGGGGATTCAGTTGTTGTTGGGGATTCACTTGTTGGTTCTGAAGTTGTTGGGGGTTCAGTTGTTGCTTCTGACGTTGTTGGGGATTCACTTGTTAGTTCTGCAGTTGTTGTCGGGGATTCGGTTGTTGGGGATTCAGTTGTTGCTTCTGAAGTTGTTAGGATTTCAGTTGTTGTTTGCTCTGTAGGCGGGGATTCAGTTATTTTTGGGGATTCACTTGTTGTTGGTTTTGCAGTGGTTGGGGATTCAGTTGTTTCCACAGTTGTTGATAATTCACTTGTTGCTTCTGAAGTTGTTGGGGATTCAATTGTTGTTTGCTCTATAGTCTGGGATTCAGTTGTTGTTGGGGATTCACTTGTTGGTGGTTCTCCAGTCGATGTAGAGGATTCAATTGTTGATTCTGCAGTCGTTGTTGGTTCTGCAGTTGGTGTTGGGGATTCACTTGTTAGTTCTGCAGTGGTCAAGGATTCAGTTATTGTTGGTTCTTTGGTTATTGCTGTGGATGCACTTGTTAGCTCTGCTGTTGTTGCTGAGGATTTACTAGTTGTTGATTCTGCAGTTGTTGTAGGGGATTCACTTGTTGTAGGGGATTCAGTTGTTGGTTCTGCAGATGTTGTAGGAGATTCAGTTGTAGGGGATTCAGTTGTTGGTTCTGCACTTGTTGTCGGGGAATCCGTTGTTAGTTCTGAAGTTGTTGGGGATTGAGATATTTCCACAGTTGTCAAGGATTCGCTTGTTGGCTGCACAGTTGTTGGGGATTCAGTTGTTGCTTCTGCAGTTGTTGTCGGGGATTCTGTTGCTGGTTCTGAAGTTGTTGGGGATTGAGTTATTTCCACAGTTGTCGAGGATTCACTGGTTGGCTCTGCAGTTGTTGTTGGTGATTCACTTGTTGCTTCTGAAGTTGTTGGCGATTCACTTGTTGCTTCTGAAGTTGTTAGGATTTCAGTTGTTGATTGCACTATAGTCGGGGATTCAGTTGTTGTTGGTGATTCACTTGTTGTTGGTTCTGCAGTTGGGGATTCAGTTGTTTCCACAGTTGTTAAGGATTCACTTGTTGGTGGTTCTCCAGTCGATGTAGGGGATTCAATTGTTGGCTCTGCAGTCGTTGTTGGTTCTGCAGTTGGTGTTGGGGATTCACTTGTTGGTTCTGCAGTGGTCAAGGATTCAGTTGTTGTTGGTTCTTTAGTTATTGCTGTGGATTCACTTGTTAGCTCTACTGTTGTTGTTGAGGATTTACTAGTTGTTGGTTCTGCAGTTGTTGTAGGGGATTCACTTGTTGGTTCTGAAGTTGTTGGGAATTGAGTTATTTCCACAGTTGCCGAGGATTCACTGGTTGGCTCTGCAGTTGTTTGGGATTTACTTGTTGTTGGTTCTGTAGTTGTTGTTGGTTCTGCGGTTGTTGCTGGTGATTCAGTTGTTGGTTCTGCAGTTGTTGTCGGGGATTCGGTTGTTGCTTCTGAAGTTGTTGAGTATTCACTTGTTGGCTGTGCAGTTGTTGGGGATTCAGTTGTTGCTTCTGAAGTTGTTAGGATTTCAGTTGTTTGCTCTGTAGGCGGGGATTCAGTTATTGTTGGGGATTCACTTGTTGGTTTTGCAGTGGTTGGGGATTCAGTTGTTTCCTCAGTTGTTGATGATTCACTTGTTGCTTCTGAAGTTGTTGGGGATTCAATTGTTGTTTGCTCTATAGTCGGGGATTCAGTTGTTGGAGATTCAGTTGTAGTTAGTTGTGTTGTTGTTGTTTGGGATTCAGTTGTTGGTTCTGCAGTCGTTTTTTGCGATTCACTTGTTCTTGGTTCTGCAGTTGTTGTTAGGGATGCAGTTGTTACTTCCACAGTTGTTAGGATTTCAGTTGTTGTCTGCTCTGTAGTCGGGGATTCAGTTGTTGTTGGGGATTCACTTGTTGATTCTGCAGTTGTTGGGGATTCAGTTGTTGTTTGCTCTATAGTCAGGGATTCAGTTTTTGTTGAGGATCCACTTGTTGCTTCTGAAGTTGTTGGGGATTCACTTGTTAGTTCTGCAGTTTTCAAGGATTCAGTTATTGTTGGTTCTGTAGTTATTGCTGTGGATTCACTTGTTAGCTCTGATTTTGTTGCTGAGGATTTACTAGTTGTTGGTTCTGCAGTTGTTGTTGGGGATTCACTTGTTGTAGGGGATTCATTTGTTGGTTCTGCAGTTGTTGTAGGAGATTCAGTTGTTGGTTCTGCAGTTGTTGTCGGGGATTCCGTTGTTGGTTCTGAAGTTGTTGGGAATTGAGTTATTTGCACAGTTGTCGAGGATTCACTGGTTGGCTCGGCAGTTGTTTGGGATTCACTTGTTGTTGGTTCTGTGGTTGTTGCTGGTGATTCACTTGTTGGTTCTGCAGTTGTCGGGGATTCGGTTGTTGCCTCTGAAATTGTTGAGGTTTCACTTGTTGGCTGTGCAGTTGTTGGGGATTCACTTGTTGGGGATTCAGTTGTTGCTTCTGAAGTTGTTAGGATTTCAGTTGTTGTTTGCTCTGTAGTTGGGGATTCAGTTTTTGTTAGAGATTCACTTGCTGTTAGTTCTGCAGTTGATGGTAGGGATGCAGTTGTTATTTCTGCAGTTGACAGTGATTCAGTTGTTGCTTCCATAGTTGTTGAGGATTCACTTCTTGCCTCTGCAGTTGTTTGGGATTCACTTGTTGTTGATTCTGCAGTTGTTAGGGATGCAGTTGTTTGTTCTGCAGTCGTTGTTGGTTCTGCAGTTGTTGTTGGTGATTCACTTGTTGGTTCTGCAGTTGTTGCCGGGGATTCAGTTGTTAGGGATTCAGTTGTTGCTTCTGAAGTTGTTGGGGATTTGCTTGTTGCTTCTGAAGTTGTTGGTAGGGATGTAGTTGGTATTTCTGCAGTTGTCGGTGATTCAGTTGTTGCTTCCACAGTTGTTGCGGATCCAGTTGTTATTTGCTCTGTAGTCTGGGATTCAATTGTTGGGGATTCAGTTGTTGGAGATTCAGTTGCAGTTAGTTGTGTTGTTGTTGTTGTTGTTTTGGATTCAGTTGTTGGTTCTGCAGTTGTTGGGGATTCAGTTGTTGGAGATTCAGTTGCAGTTAGTTGTGTTGTTGTTGTTGTTTTGGATTCAGTTGTTGGTTCTGCAGTTGTTGGGGATTCAGTTGTTTCCACAGTTGTCGAGGATTCACTGGTTGGCTCTGCGGTTGCTGTTGGTGATTCACTTGTTGGTTCTGCAGTTATTGTCGGGGATTCAGTTGTTACTTCCACAGTTGTTGAGGATTCACTTGTTGGCTGTGCAGTTGTTGGGGATTCACTTGTTGGGGATTCAGTTGTTGCTTCTGAAGTTGTTAGGATTTCAGTTGTTGTTTGCTCTGTAGTCGGGGATTCAGTTGTTGTTGGGGATTCACTTGTTGTTGGTTTTGCAGTTGTTGGGGTTTCAGTTGTTTCCACAGTTTTTGAGGATTCACTTGTTGCTTCTGAAGTTGTTGCGGATTCACTTGTTGCTGCTGAAGTTGTTGGGGATTCACTTGTTGTTGACTCTATAGTCAGGGATTCAGTTTTTGTTGAGGATCCACTTGTTGTTTCTGAAGTTGTTGGGGATTCACTTGTTGCTTCTGACGTTGTTGGGGATTCAGTTGTTGTTTGCTCTGTAGTCAGGGACTCAGTTTTTGTTGAGGATTCACTTGTTGTTGGTTCTCCAGTCGTTGTAGGGGATTCAGTTGTTGGTTCTGCAGTCGTTGTTGGTTCTGCATTTGATGTTGGGGATTCACTTTTTAGTTCTGCAGTGGTCAAGGATTCAGTTATTGTTGGTTCTTTAGTTATTGCTGTGGATTCACTTGTTAGCTCTGTTTTTGTTGTTGAGGATTTACTAGTTGTTGGTTCTGCAGTTGTTGTAGGGGATTCACTTGTTGTAGGGGATTCGCTTGTTGTAGGGGATTCAGTTGTTGGTTCTGCAGATGTTGTAGGAGATTCAGTTGTTGGTTCTGCAGTTGTTGTCGGGGATTCCGTTGTTAGTTCTGAAGTTGTTGGGGATTGAGATATTTCTACAGTTGTCGAGGATTCACTTGTTGGCTGTGCAGTTGTTGGGGATGCAGTTGTTGTTTGTTCTGTAGTCGGGGATTCAGTTGTTGTTGAGGATTCACTTGTTGTTGGTTCTCCAGTTGTTTGTTCTGCAATTGTTGTTGGGGAATCACTTGTTGTAGGGGATTCAGTTGTTGGTTCTGCAGTGGTCAAGGATTCAGTTGTTGTTGGTTCTTTAGTTATTGCTGTGGATTCACTTGTTGTTGGTTCTGCAGTTGATGGGGAATCAGTTGTTTCCACAGTTGTTGCGGATTCACTTGTTGCTTGTGAAGTTCTTGGGGATTCACTTGTTGTTTGCTCTGTAGTAGGGGATTCAGTTTTTGTTGAGAATCCACTTGTTGTTGGTTCTGCAGTCGTTGTTGGTTCTGCAGTTGGTGTTAGAGATTCACTTGTTAGTTCTGCAGTGGTCAAGGATTCAGTTATTGTTGGTTCTTTAGTTATTGCTGTGGATTCACTTGTTAGCTCTGTTTTTGTTGTTGAGGATTTACTAGTTGTTGATTCTGCAGTTGTTGTAGGGGATTCACTTGTTGTAGAGGATTCAGTTGTTGGTTCTGCAGATGTTGTAGGGGATTCAGTTGTTGGTTCTGCAGTTGTTATCGGGGATTCCGTTGTTGGTTCTGAAGTTGTTGGGGATTGAGTTATTTCCACAGTTGTCGAGGATTCACTTGTTGGCTGTGCAGTTGTTTGGGATTCACTTGTTGGTTCTGTAGTTGTTGTCGGGGATTCGGTTGTTACTTCCACAGTTGTTGATGATTCACTTGTTGGCTGTGCAGTTGTTGGGGATTCACTTGTTGCTTCTGAAGTTATTAGGGATTCAGTTGTTGTTTGCTCTGTAGTCGGGGATTCAGTTTTTGTTGGGGATTCACTTATTGTTGGTTCTGTAGTTGTTGTTAGGGATGCAGTTGTTGTTGGTGATTCACTTGTTAGTTCTGCAGTTGTCGAGGATTCAGTTGTTAGGGATTCAGTTGTTGCTTCTGAAGTTGTTGGGGATTCACTTGTTGCTTCTGAAGTTGTTGGTAGGGATGCAGTTGTTATTTCTGCAGTTGTCGGTGATTCAGTTGTTGCTTCCATAGTTGTTGAGGATTCACTTCTTGCCTCTGCAGTTGTTGGAGATTCACTTGTTGTTGATTCTGCAGTTGTTTTTGAGGATTCACTTGTAGTTGGTTCTGCAGTTGTAGGTGATTCAGTTGTTGGTTCCACAGTTGTTGTGGATCCAGTTGTTGTTTGCTCTGTCGTCGGGGATTCAGTTGTTGGGGATTCAGTTGCAGTTAGTTGTGTTGTTGTTTGGGATTCAGTTGTTGGTTCTGCAGTCGTTTTTTGCGATTCACTTGTTGTTGGTTCTGAAGTTGTTGGGGATTCAGTTGTTTCCACAGTTGTCGAGGATTCACTGGTTGGCTCTGCAGTTGTTGTTTGGGATTCACTTGTTGTTTGTTCTGCAGTCGTTGTTGGTTCTGCGGTTGTTCTTGGTGATTCACTTGTTGGTTCTGCAGTTATTGTCGGGGATTCAGTTGTTACTTCCACAGTTGTTGAGGATTCACTTGTTGGCTGTGCAGTTGTTGGGGATTCACTTGTTGGGGATTCACTTGTTGCTTCTGAAGTTGTTAGGATTTCAGTTGTTGTTTGCACTGTAGTCGGGGATTCAGTTGTTGTTGGGGATTCATTTGTTGTTGGTTCTGCAGTTGATGGGGAATCAGTTGTTTCCACAGTTGTTGCGGATTCACTTGTTGCTTCTGAAGTTCTTGGGGATTCACTTGTTGTTTGCTCTGTAATAGGGGATTCAGTTTTTGTTGAGGATTCACTTGTTGCTTCTGAAGTTCTTGGGGATTCACTTGTTGTTTGCTCTGTAGTAGGGGATTCAGTTTTTGTTGAGGATTCACTTGTTGCTTCTGAATTTGTTGGGGATTCAGTTTTTGTTGGGGATTCACTTGTTGGTTCTCCAGTCGTTATAGGGGATTCAGTTGTTGGTTCTGCAGTTGTTGTAGGAGATTCAGTTTTAGTTGTTGGTTCTGCAATTGTTGTCGGGGATTCCGTTGTTGGTTCTGAAGTTGCTGTGGATTCAGTTATTGGGGATTCACTTGCAGTTGGTTCTGAAGTTATTGTTAGAGCTTCAGTTTTTGTTGTATCTACTGTTGTCCAATAATCAGTTGTTGTTAGGTGTTCAGTGGTTGACACTTCACTTGTTGACATATCTGTTGCTGTTGATGAAGCATAAATACAAATGTTATTTTTTAATTTATACCTGTAGTTCAGCTTTATTTTTCAATCTACATCCTCATTCATCATCACGAGCTAAGATCTATGTATTGCTGGATAAAAACCTCCCAATGTTTTTACCATTCTTAACGTTATTGCAAAGCCACATCGTTCCATCTCCAAGCTATTAAATCTCGATATCCCTGGTGTTTCCTCTCCCTTAACTGCCATTCCTTCACTATTCTCGCCCATTGCTCATTAACTTTTCTCTTGATTTCACCTGCCCAAGATCACTTGCTTTTCTGGATAGCTCATATTTTGTATTGAATATAATATAGCCTACCTTTCACCATTTGTTCAATGTTATTTGTTACTGTCCATGCTTCTGATTCTTGTCATAGCATTAGGTGAAAACTTAATTTTTGAATACGCTGGTATGTTGCTTTTAATTATTAAAAAAATATTGTTCCGAAATTTCTCTAACCTGCTCTCACTCACCTTTTTTTTATCTATCTTCAATAACTTCCCTCGATGTACAGGATCCTCTCTTTGTACTACACATCACAGTGATCATCACCCGTGACTTGAAGACTAATAGCCGTTTGCAGGCCAGATGCTGCGTGAGTCACTTTCAAAAGTGTTAAGATGACATGTGATAGTGTTCTGAGACACCCTGGCACATGGGGCACTACATCATAATAAATCATTCTCATATAATTAATATCGCCTGTGTTCTCCTGACTATTATTCTCTTTTGTTCAGTGAACTTGTGGTATGTGACTTTAGGTTTGGTCATATTTATCTTCATCTTAACTCTTCAGCTTTCCATGTTATATGTACACTTTCACAACCATTCTGATTCATAATTAGTTTATTTTGGGTTAGGTGGTGTAGTTGGTATAAGGCCAATTTTAACTATAACCCTTCATCACCCGACAGAGCAAATCAAATCAATGTTTCACATGGGAAAATATGCCAATTAATTTGGGTTTTCAGCAAAACTGGAGGAATGTTGAGAGATAAGTGAAATGTTTTATTTACAGTGTTTCAGATGAGACTATGTTCAGCATCATCAGCTGTTAACAAAAGCCCAGCTCTCAGCTTTCCTTGATTAGGTCTTCAGTAATTTAAATTGTTAATTTCCATTGGTTGTTAAAATAACTATGTCATCACCGAACTTATGCAAAGCTTACAAATGCGAATAACAAACCCCTAACACAGTGGCCAATACACTGTGGCGTTAAAAGGAAGACTAAATAGACACCGTTTCGGGCAATGGCCTCTTCATGCCATAGAGATAGAGAAGACAGAGAGAGATATCTTGGATGAGAGTTGGAGACTTTACATCATGCACAGTCAGGTTAATTCAACAAATGCTGCTGAAATTACAAGGAATTATTGGAAACAGCACCCCATTTGTAGAGATAAATGGATCTCATTAAACCATCTCTTATCATCAGTGCATGTATACCGTCAGTGACTGCGCCTCCCCTTTACCCCACCTCTCCGCAATAGGAATAAAGCCGACTGCTCGAGCCACTATTATTTGTGGATTGGGGAAATTATTCTTCTCTTAAAGACCCAGACTTGGGTGTACATTCCATGAGCAGAGTAACATTACACTCATAAAGACAACAACCCTTCCTAATATAAAAATCTAATATAGATATAAAATATAAGAATAGGTTTTCCCCTGTTAGTTTTGTTGCCAGAAAAAAATGGGAAAAAAATATTACGTATAAACACACTATTTTTATCATGATATTTTAGTATAAGGTATTCAGAGCTACCAAAGTCAGTAGCTTCCTGCTCCAATGAGCATCGAGGCATTGGTGCTCATCTCCCGTTTACAGTTCTGAGAAAGTGGTGGGAATTCCTTATTCCATTGCAGAGCCCAGTCTGGCCATAGGACAGCCAGTGTGGACTTCTTGCCCTTCAGAATGTTGGGTCATATACTGCAGACATCTCCTTGTCGGCATCCTGAAGCGTAGCCCTCTTCTCAGGGATGGCCCAGAAGGCTGCGAGGCAATCATCAAGAACCCGTAGGTAAAGCTCTCAACGCCTCCTCCTCCGTCCAGCCGACGGACCGGTACTCTGCTACAAACCGGCGGGTGAAGCCACTCCAATACCCCGCCACCACCGCCGTACATTCTCTAATCAAAGGCAATCTTCGTGGTTGCTCGGTGGCCCCTCACCTCGCCGCCCGAGTTGACATCGCCACCGCTGCTTCAGGCGTCCCCTCACGTGACCCTGTCAACGCTTGTCCCATCAATCATCATTAGCAACCACGAAGGTCCCACATTACCCTAACATGGCATTTTGACTGCAGGTATTGTGGTTAATGCAGACATGAATCCTCGTAAAAAGGTTTCAGTTTTGTTGCCAGAAAAAAGGGGAAAACCCCTATTATTACGTTTTGGTACTGGCAAAGGAGGTCTAATGATGGCCCTGCCTGTTCCCGTTACGTTCATTAGTAACCATGGTCCCGGGGAGCCGTACTGTCCCTACATCACCCCGTACTGTCCTTACATATGTATAATTATTATATAATTGTTAAACCGTTGTGCTTTATGCCCGTTTGCCTCTTTAAGATAATGAATTAGTCATTTCCCTCAAAACGTTAATTACAGCATATTTCCCTATCATATTTGCTTGTTTCATATGCGAACGAGTTTTTATAATCATGTAAGCTACGTAAGAATGTTATTCTTAATGCTTAAATAAACATTACATCTTTAATATGCCGTATAGATTTAAAGCTTTCGTGACTGCATGAATGACTCTTTGGTTCTTTCGGTAAAGTCACGTGACAAAGAGTAATGCTGTACGGACTTAAAATCTAGAAGACTTTAACAGCGTTAAATGTTCTATTTATTTACATCAATAATAATGTTAATACAGCATTTTTACCTATCATATCTACTTTTGATTATAGTCATACTTACAAACGAGTTTGGAGAATAACCTACACTTTATAACTGTTACTATGATTATTCTTGGTTCTTTCGGTAAAGTCACGTAGAAGGGAAACAATAAAATAATAATAAAAATATAAAACAATAAAATTCTCACGACGTTTCGACTGCAACACGAGCAGGAGGAGGAAGGTTCGTCTCCCAAGCCGAGCGTTTCCGGGTCCACCTTCATGATCCTCCCTCTGCCCCAGGGTGGAAAGATCCCCTCGCACGACGTTTGGGCCTTCAAGAGGTGCGGGGGGCCTACAGGACGTGTGGGGGGCCTACAGGACGTGTGGGGGGCCTACAGGACGTGTGGGGGGCCTACAGGACGTGTGGGGGGCATTCAGGACGTGTGGGGGGCCTACAGGACGTGTGGGGGGCATACAGGACGTGTGGGGGGCATACAGGACGTGTGGGGGGCCTACAGGACGTGTGGGGGGCATTCAGGACGTGTGGGGGGCCTACAGGACGTGTGGGGGGCATACAGGACGTGTGGGGGGCCTACAGGACGTGTGGGGGGCATTCAGGACGTGTGGGGGGCCTACAGGACGTGTGGGGGGCCTACGAGACGTGTGGGGGGCCTACGAGACGTGTGGGGGGCCTACGAGACGTGTGGGGGGCCTACAGAGAGCCGCTGTGCCGCTACGACGCCCTCACGCTGCACGACGGCGGCACGGCGGCGGCGCCGCGGCTGGCGCGCTACTGCGGCGCGGCGCCGCCCGGCAGCGTGCACTCGACGGGGCCCGCGCTGCCGCTGCTGCCGCGCACGGACGGCGAGAACGCCGCCACGGGATTCCTCGCCAGCTTCACGGCCCAGAGGCCCGCGCAGCCCGCAAGATGGCCGCCTGAGGCGCGCGCGGCCAGCAGCGGCTGGTGGGGCCGTTTGTGAGGGGGCCGAGGGAGCCGACGGAGGGGGCCGACGGAGCCGGGGGGGCCGGGGGGGGCCGACGGAGCCAGGGGGGCCGACTGAGTCGGGGGGGGCGACGGAGCTGGGGGGGGGGGGGGGCGACGGAGCCAGGGGGGGCAACTGAGTCGGGGGTAAGCGACGGAGCCGGGGGGGGGCCGACGGAGCTGGGGGGGGCCGACGGAGCCGGGGGGGGGCGACGGAGCCGGGGGGGGGGGCGATGGAGCTGGGGGGGGGGCGACAGAGCCAGGGGGGGGCCGACGGAGGTGGGGGCGGGGCCGACGGAGCCAGGGGGGGGCCGACGGAGGTGGGGCCGACGGTGTCGGGGGGGGGGGGCGACGGAGCCGGGGGGGGGGGCGACGGAGCCAGGGAGGGGCGACAGAGCTGGGGGGGGCCGACGGTGTCGGGGGGGGCGACAGAGCCGGGGGGGGGATACGAAGCCAGGGGGGGGGGCGACGGAGCTGGGGGGGCGACGGAGCTGGGGGGGGGGGGCGACGGAGCTGGGGAGGGGAGGCGACGGAGCCCGGGGCGGGGGGGGGCGACGGAGCCAGCGGGGGGGCGATGGAGCCGGGGGGGGGGGGGGCGACGGAGCTGGGGGGGGCCGACGGAGTCAGGGGGGGGGGGGCGGGGCGACGGCGCAAGCAGAGGGAGCCGACACTGATTCACTCACACCATGCACTAACTCACTCACACATCATACACTGACTCACTCACACATCATACACTGACTCACATCATACACTGACTCACTCACACATCATACACTGACTCACTCACACCATGCACTGACTCACTCACACATCATACACTGACTCACTCACACATCATACACTCACTCACACATCATACACTGACTCACACATCATACACTGACTCACACCATGCACTAACTCACTCACACATCATGCACTGACTCACTCACACACCATGCACTGACTCACTCACACATTATGCACTGACTCGCTCATCATGCGCTTACTCACTCACACATACACTCGCACAACCACTGACCCATTCACTCATCATACACAGGTTTACTCATTGTTTGCTGACTCACTCGCACATCATACACTGACTCACTCATCATGCGCTGACTAACACATCGTGCGCTGACTCACACATCATTCACTCACTCACACTG